TTAAAGGATTCCCAAAAAATGGTGGTTAAATACAGAAGCCAGTTACTGATACTGACAGTTGCATGGTGTGAGCACTGGACCAGAATTCTGGAAATCTCCACTCAGCCAGGGAATCCCATAGGGTAAACATGGGCAAGTAACATCCCTTCATACCTAATGAAGGCACTGTCCAACTCTTCTGAATGTATCTTGCCAAGAAAACTCTAGGATATGTCACCACTAGTTAAAATTGACTTGAAGGCACATAACAATATCTTACTTGTGTTCAGTAATATTTGTTTCAGCCACCAGATAATAGCTTGGAAAAAGCTACTTTTATGAATACAAATCCCAGAATTCACCAGTTAGACCAACTGAAAATATTGAGAAAAGAGATCTGAACAAGAAGGGAAGAAACAGATGATTACAAAGGCAAATACAATAGGAAAGGTCTAAGTTGGAATGAGAAACCTGAGCCTTTATTTCTATAATTTTCTTCACTGTTTTGCCCCATCTTTCTGTAGGGTATTCTAGTACTGTTTATTTTTCAGGAGCTAGGGGGTATATGTCAATACACATTAATAAGCATATCTGAACGAGGATGTCATTTCCTGCTCTTAAAGTGAGACACACCCAAGTTCTTAAACTCACCTCTCCTCATCTAGTTAACTTCTCATCCTGACTGTAAATTAAATTAGAAAGAAGTAGACTGAATAATACCTACCACACTAATACTGCATGAGCATAGTAAAAAGCATTGTGAACACAGTGATTTGGTTAACATAACCAGATGCACAGGAACTGTCCCTTCCTGAAGAGGCATACTATCTAATTAATCTGAGCAAGTAATGCGAGAAAAAGGTAAGGTTAAAAAAGAAAAAATGTGAGCATATTTGCACTTCATTTCAGTGGTCTGCATATATATTCACATGTGTATGAGGACAGAGGGTATCAGTTTCAGCCAGGATTTCCTAAGAGAGGTTTCTGAGCTGAGAAATTTAAGGGACAATATCAAGGAAAATATTTCTTGATAAGATCCAGCATGGTGTAGTGGCTTGAGCATTAGACTATGACTCTTGAGACCAGGGTTCAAATCCCCGCTCAGCCATGGAAAGCTGTGGGCTGACTTTACGATAGTCATTCTCACTCATGCTCAGAGAAAGGCAAAGGCAAACTCTCTCTGAACAAATCTTGCCAGGAAAACCCATGATGGATTCAGGTTAGGGTCACTATAAGTCAAAAATGACTTGAAAGCACACAACAACATCAAAGATGACCAATTGTACAAATACACTGTAATTTTAAAAAGTAACTTCTCTTGTTTTGAAAACACTTCTTCTTCTATACATTCCTAATGTTTAAAGTCAACCAAGCAGGTGTTTTCTCTACAGCTCTCTTGAGCTTTCTTGGTAATACAATCCACTTCTTATTATGAAGTGAAAGTGAATGCATGCCTACTTCACATTGCTTCAGGCAAACAATTGCTCTATTCTAACCCTGGTTGAAGCTGACATGGCAGGCAATTTATCATTATCATCTACCTACACTCACTCCCTTAGCTGAATGACAGCTATCAAAAGGGTCAGGGCCATTACTTGGTGGTAAAGCAATCAGAATATGTAATTTTGTGCCTCCCCAAGAAGCAATAGCCCTGCCTCAAAACAGTAATTTTCTTTGTCCATGCAAGCTTTAAGGGACTCCGTAGAAGAATCTAGTGAGGCACTAGGATGTTGGATACAGAAGTTCTCGATTATAGTAATGTGAGTCAAACTGTCATGGCTCCATTCTATGAAATCCAGCAATTTGCAGATAATGAGGGATATTTAGAATTCTCAGCCAGAGAGCTCTAGTGCCTTACCAGACTACAAATCCCATGATTCCACAGATGCAGCTATGGCAGTCATAGCAGAATCTTAGTATTATAATTGTATAGTTGAAAGGGCCTAGTGACATAGCAATAAAGACTATTCCCAATAACTATACTGCATTTTTATTTTTATGCTGTATTTTACAGGGTGTGATAAATCATACCTTTATTTAAGCTAATATGACATTAAATTTGCTGTATGCTGAGACAGGTCTATGTACTAAAAGTTAGTATCTATGCTTATAATTTCATGTCTATAAAGATCAATATATAAGTTGCACAGTTCAAGGGTAAACCAAAAGTCTATTGGCATCTTTCCTGAAATTCCTAGCTAAAGGAAGGCCAAAGCTAATTCATGAGGCCAAAGCTAATTCATCTTGAAAGAGCTCAGACATTTCATGCCTGGTCCAGATGAGTCTACTTCGGACCCATGGAAGAATATATTTATTGTGTACTGAGCACTAGATGACAGCTTTGGCATCTTCCATAGGCATAAAAGTAGGTAGGGGTAAAGATGAACAAATCATTCCTAACTCACCTCAGATTAATTTGGAAATTATCTCTTTCAAAAACACATTTGAAAGATTTTATAGCAATTCTCTTAGCCAATCTGAAAATTCAGGAAAATTCTCCTACAGCTACCCAGACATTCTCAGTCTTGCCAAAATACACCTTCCCCTCTCACATACCCACAAAGTAGCAGAAACAGTAAAAAAAGAGGAATGAAAAGAAGAGAAATTTGTTGAAGTTGTAAGCCCTTGGGAAAATATCCTTTTTTTTAACTTCACAAAGCTGCCAGCTGAATAGAATGTGTCTTATTCAGAAATTCAAAGGTTTGCAAGTCTTATGTTGTGCTTTGAAAGGGGAAAACAACACAGAACCATGCACACATTTGAAAAACATACAGAACTAGAATGCATACATTTCAAAAAGACACAGAGATACACTGTACTCAGTGTAAAAATGTATACAGAAATACATTCATATTGAAAAATATGAATGTACAAATTTCCACTTTTTTAAAAAAAAGAGTTTGATAAATCTAATACAATAAGATGCAATACGAATACCAGTGGGAAACTGCAAACCTCAGAGATGGACAGATCTGGATATTCCTAGTGGAAAGAGTAGTGATAATGTAGGGGAGGATATTCTTGAGATTTTTTACTTTTTCCCCTTTAATTTCCTCCTTTACCACTTGAATGTTCTGGGAAAGCAGAGGATCAGGGTGCTAGAATCTAATCATTTTATTATTTAGTACTGTTGTAAAGCAATAACAATAACAGTGTTTGAATTTGCTTTCCAAATCCAAATGCTTCCAATCCTCTCTTTCCATTTCCATCTTGTCTTTCAGACTGGAAGACCAAGAGTAGGGACTAATTACTGATTTTTGTCACTGGCCGTAGGAGTCTTTTTCTGCTGAAAATTGAAATGGAAGTGCTTGACATAAATAAATGAGAGTCATGGGATGAGTGTCCAGAATCATCTGGTAGATGGTTCAAGCCTCAGAACCATTGATGGGACACATAACTGTGCAATGGAGGGAGAGGGGATCAAAAGAAGGAACCTGGCATTTTATGTTTTGAGACTGGCTTTGAAGCAGACACATGAGAAGAATCTTGCTTCAGAGAAAAACACAGTGATTACTTCTGAAAGCAAAGCCATCATTCAGCACTGGAACAGACCTGAGAATGTGAGCATACAAGGATGGGTGAGTGAGAATAAAAAACTATAAGGAAGTACAAATTTGACACAGGATGTGAGTCTTGTAGGTGTGTCTGTAAACCAGAGATGTCAACTATACTACTCTTGAATATGGAAAGATATCAATATGCAGAGCTTTTAAAGATAGAATGTTTGGCTACCCTCTCATCAGCAGCTCTGGATAAACGCATATTTTTGTCACGCATTCTGTCAATTTGAACATGCCTTGTTGAACTCTGTCAAATAACTTAAGAGTCTGGCACTGCATCAGAACTCTCTGCTGTCATATGGTGTACCAACCATTCTACCCAAAGAAAAGGAAAATGCTTATTATACACAATTTCTCTTGC